ATGGATTTTGTATTGGGTTACCACGTACACAACGAGGGTTTGATTCGTTTTTTGGGGTTGTGGATCTTTTTTCGAAGATGGTGCACTTCATTCCTTGCAAACGCACCACCGATGTCGTTCACATGACCCAATTATATTTTTGGGAGATATATCGTTTGCATGGCCTTCCTTCGTCAATAGTCTCAGATCGTGATACTCACTTTTTGAGCCATTTTTTGCGTAGTTTGTGGCGAATGGCCAATACCTGACTGGATTTTAGTAGCGCATATCCTCAATAAACTGATGGGCAATCGGCGGTATCGCTCGTTAGGAAACTTACTGATATAGCTTTATAAAGATGTGTTGATCCATAGGTCCTCTCTTCGATTTATAGACTATCAGCTCCGCCAGCGCATCGACTCGGGTCGATGAGGTGTTTAAGTCGACTCCGATCAAAGTCGATCCGCCCTCAAAGCAGCGTATTGGGAAGGAAGATTCCGCACAGGTCAACTCATAAAAGTCGACTTGAGTCAGTCGACCCCTTAGGAGTCGACATATATTCGAGAAATCCATAGGAGCATGACCGAACAGAGGGAACCTGATTTGGAAAAGGGGTATTCGAGGTCAACGCCTCATATCTCGAGGCATAAGGCGTGCAGTCGACTCCATACACTTGGCACATTTTTTAGAACCCTTTGTCCATCTATGGATAAGAAGGAATCTGAGGGATGACTCAGCAAGGAGGGGAGATGAATCGACCGGGGCAATTTGGACCTTTTAGGACCACCGACTTGGGGCATTTTGGGCATTTCAGGTAACTTCTCCCTCCTATATAAAGGAGAAGAGGTATCCATAAACCCTAACTCCCATTCATTCCATATTGCTCTCCATAGTTGCTGCTCCCTCGGAGCAGCTTTCTCTTTCTCTCTCTCTCATACTGACTTGAGCATCGGAGGCTCTTCGCCGGAGACACCTCTGGCGTTGAGTTCGTGCAGGTATTCTCGCGGTTTAGTGGCGGTTCGGAGGTGATTCAGACAGATATGAGCTCATTCCTATCGGTTCATTCTAGATCTGAGAATAAACCCATCATTTTAGCGTCGTCTGTGGGGAGTTCTTGAAGGAATTAAGAGCTTCACACCTAGCTCCGATCTGTCTCTGATAGCCGAGAAGGAAGGTTTGCAGAGGAATTTGAACGAGGAATTTAGGGGAGCTTGGACAGACAGGAGACCCCCGTCTCTCTCCGCTCCTAGACCCCCGGTAATGCAGGTGTTTGGGCTACCACCGTTCGGAGGACCTCCGCCTCCGGGTGTGAATCTGGGTGGAAAAACACCTATTACCCCACCCGGAGTGAAGGTGCCGGTGTTGACCTCAGCATGAGCAAGTCAAAACCCCAATTCGTGTGGAGGAGAACCAACGGAGATGTCTCAACGCGTGGGAAAGCAAATCTAGGAGGGGCCGGAACAAATGCTCGTTCGATCCTGGGTCCAAGAGCAAACGGTAACAATGACGAGAGATGAAATACAAAGGATGATAGCGGAATCTGTGGCAGCTCAGCTGAAGCAGGCTAAGACCAAGCAAGCCCGGGTCGAGCAGCCCAGGGTCGAGCCCCTAAGGATCGAACAGCCAAACGTAGAATGCAAACAACAGGCCCAATCGAATGAGAGGCAAAATAGGAGAGCGGAGGAGGAAGCTTCCTCCATCAGGACTGTCAACCTGCAAGCGAGGGACGAAACACTGGAGCAATTGCTCGCCCAAGTGTGTGATCTATAGGCTCGGGTCGAGGGAAGAAACATTGGTGGTTCGAAGGGGCACCCGTTCTCGCAACACATCCTCGACGCCGATCTACCACAAGGCTTCTGTGATTTAAACATAAGCAACGACGAATCGACTGATCCATCTCGACACTTGAGGAGTTTCGAGAATATGGCAGTGCTCCATCGCTACAACGACCCAGTGCAATGTCGAGCTTTCTTGACAACTTTACGAGGTTCCGCCCAGGACTGGTTCCATCAGTTACCAGCAGGAGCTATCAAAGATTTTGAAGGGTTCAGCTCGAGTTTCTTCAACCAATTCGCAAGTGTCAGGCCACAAGAGAAGTCGTATTTAACTTTGATGGGCATACAACAGAAGGAAGGCGAGTTGCTGCGAGATTATGTGGCGAGATATACGCGGGCGTGCGTCGAGGTGCCCAGAGCATAAGAGGAAATAAAGGCGGGAGGTTTAACTCGAGGGCTGCTACCAGGCTTGTGCATGAACTCTTTGGCCAAGAGCCCGGGAAGGACGTTCGACGAGGTATTGGGGAGATGTGCAAAATACATGAATGTCGAGGAAGCAGAGGCCAATTTTTCGCAGGCAGCTAAGATAATTAAAACATATCCCCGTGACGAGAGAAAAGGGAAAAGAGGTTCCTCGACCGGATAAAGAAAGGGGTCTCCACGAGCAGAAAGGGAAGGACGACCTAGAAGTTGGAGACCGATTCCGTATACCCCTCTAGCGGCTCCACAAGCTAGGATCCTAGAAGTTATGGAGAGGGAGATTCGCGACAATGTGGAGAGATGGCCCAAGACAAGGAATGACGGGCCGACAAGGCCTAAGAGTAACCTATACTGCGGATTCCACAAAGATTACGGACATAACACCGATGATTGCAGGCATCTCAAAGATGAGATAGAAAGATTGATAAATGCCGGCCATTTGAAAGAGTTTATATACAAAGATCGAGTGAGGACGAGTTGAAGGAAAGAAAGGAGTAAGAGTCCTTGCAAGAGGACGAGATCACCGGAAAAAGAGGAGCCTCCCCTGGAAAGAGGAATAATTCACATGATCTTCGGTGGGCCGACTGACGGAGATTCAAACAAAGCAAGAAAAGCATACTCCCGAGGGAAGCACACTAAGGTCGAGGTACACCAAGTTGATGAAGGGGGCCCAGTGATGAATTTCGGGCTAGCGGACGTAGGAAAGGTCGAGAGACCTTACAATGATGCTCTAATAATAACCACCCAAGTGTCGGGTTATGAGGTACAAATGGTTTTTATCGATACTGGGAGCTCAGTAAATGTAATCTTTTATGATTGCCTCAAAAGGATGGACCTCGACATCGAACTGACACCCTTACACACGTCTCTTTTTGGGTTCAACGGCTCGGAGGTCGCCCCCCTAGGAGAAACCACACTTGTTGTCGTTCTAGGGGAGGGAGACTTGAGAAAGGTGAAGATGATAAGATTCGTGGTGGTCGATGTCGAGGCGGTTTATAATGTGATCCTTGGGAGACCAGCACTGAATGCTTTCCAAGCTGTGGTATCGACTTACCACATGAAGCTAAAGTTTTCAGTCGGAGATCGGGTGGGAGAAGCCCGAGGAGATCAGAAATTATCTAGAGCCTGTTACCAGATAGCAGTAAAGACAAACCAGCGAACAGAGAAGAGGGAAGGAAAGAAATGCATCAAACGAGAAGAGGCCAAGGGGAAGTGACCTCGAACCACATCGAGAGCTGATGGAAATTCAGATAGGGAAGAAAGTGGACCAAATCACCAAAGTCGGGGGAGAATTGGAAAATGAGTTAAGGAAACAATTGGTGGAATTGTTGAGGGCGTTTAGAGACGTATTTGATTTCTCTCCCGAAGAGCTAACGGGGATTGATCCGAAGATCATGGAACATAAACTAAATGTCGATCCCCTCAAAAAACCCGTCAAACAATGACTCAGGCATCATGGAGCTGAAATAGACAAAGAAATCGAGGTCGAGGTGGATAAGCTGCTAAAAGCCAAGCACATCAAAGAGATCCAATTCCCCGAATGGATATCCAACACTGTGATGGTGAGAAAGGCATTGGATAAATGGCGCATGTACATCGACTTTCGCGATTTAAACCTGGCGTGTCGCAAGGATCATTACCCTTTGCCAAGAATCAATCAGCTGGTCGACTCCACGGCTGGTTGCGAGTTGCTAAGCATGATGGACGCATCCCATGGATATCATCAAATCCCACTGGCCCCCGAGGATCAGAGCAAATTTAGCTTCATCACAAGCAAAGGGATGTATTGTTATGTCGTCATGCCCTTCGGGCTAAAAAATGTAGGGGCGACGTACCAAAGATTAATGGATCGAATGTTCAAGTCGCAGATTGGGTTCAATATGGAGGTGTATGTAGACGACACCCTGGTGAAAAGTAGGTCCTCGACTTCGCACGTAGAGGATTTAAGGGAAACATTCAAGACACTAAGGACATTCGAGATGAAGTTAAACCCGAGCAAGTGCACCTTCGGAGTGAGGGCAGGACGATTCCTGGGCTATGTCGTGACTGAAAGGGGTATCGAAGTAAACAAGGACAAGGTGTAGGCCATACTCGACATGACCCCGCCAAAGAATGTCAGAGAGGTTCAAGTCTTGACAGGTCGAATTGCTGGTCTAAGCAGGTTCATCGCTCGAGCTACAGAAAGGAGTTTCCTATTCTTCAAGTTACTTAAGAAGAAAGCTTTTCAATAGAATGACGAGGCTCAAATGACATTCAAAAAGCTGAAGGAGTTTTTGAGCGAGCTACCATTGTTAACAAAGCCTGGGGCGGGTGACGAGTTAATACTCTACATCTCGGTGGGAATTTTTTCTTTGAGTTCGGTATTACTGCGAGAGGCTGGAGGTGCCCAGCCAATCTACTATACAAGTCAGGTACTCTAAGGCGCGGAGACGAGATATGCCAAAGTCGAGAAGACCGCCTTAACATTGGTAATCACAGCTAGAAAATTGAGGCCATATTTCCTGAATCATGTGATAGTGGTAAGGAAAAATTTCCAACTCGGAGAGACCTTGGGTCGACCTACCGTTTCAGGTCGACTCGTAAAATGGGCAGTCGAGCTAAGCGAGTATTCCATCAAGTACGAACCGCGAAGAGCTATAAAGGCCCAAGCCCTGGCAGACTTCATCCAGGAAGGAACTAATGGAGAAGACAAGAAATGGGTGATGCATGTCGATGGGTCCTCGTCGGCTAAAGGATCTGGTCTGGGAGTCGTCCTAATATCTCCCGAAGGCGAGCAGCTCGACTTCACCATCTGAACGGGGTTCAAGGCATCGAACAACGAAGCAGAGTATAAGGCCATAATTAAAGGGATCCAGCTGGCAATCGATGGCGGAGCAACAGAGATCATGGCGCATTCCGACTCACAGCTTTTTGTCGGACAAGTATTGGAAAATTGCGAAATTAAAGAGGATCGGATGCTAAAATATGTCGAGAAAATTCAAATCCTTGTGCAAGGCTTAGAAAGGTTCGAGTTAACACAAGTCTCTCGAGAAGAGAACAAGCGAGCCGACTGGCTCGCAAGAATCGCGAGTTCAAACGAAGGAAAGATAGGGAATCGCATCACCACCTTGCATTTAGAATGAAGTGTTTTGAGCGAGAAAATGGAGGTCGATGAAAAGTAGGATTGGCGAGGAGCAATTCGTGAACTGTTACAAGGTCCAGTACCGGAAGGAGACAGGCAAGAGACAGAAAAAACAGCTCGATATTTGAGTAAGTACTTTGAGGTCGAATGAATCTTGTATACGAAGTCAATGGTCGGACCCCAGCTGCGATGCATTTCCGAAGAAGAAGGAAATCATGTCTTAAGGGAGATCCACGAGGGTTGTTGCGGAGCGCATGTAGGATCACGACCTCTAGCTGGAAAAGCTCTTCGAGCAGGCTATTATTGGCCCAAAATCCAGAAAGCAGCCGAACAGTTGGTGCAGGGTTGCGAGCGATGCCGGCACCATGGCCGAATTCCCCACGTTCCAGCCGAGGCAATGACGACAATCAGCTATCCAATCCCTTTTGCTCAATGGGGAATATACTTGGAAGGACCACTGCTGATGGGAACAGGGCAAAGGAGATTCATGGTGGTCGTCGTCGACTACTGTAGTAAATGGGTGGAAGCGGAACCTCTGGAAAAAATCACCGAGGACAAAATGATACAATTTCTGTTCGACAATATCTGTTGTCGATTCGGGATTCCTAAGGTTTTAATTTCAGATAAAGGGACGCAATTCCAAGGAAAGCGGATTCAAGCGTGGTGTCTCGACATGGGGATTAAGCAACGATTCGCTTCAGTTGCGCACCCCCAGGCAAATGGCCAAGTCGAAGTAACAAACAGAACTATCCTGCAGGGATTGAAGAAGAGACTAGAAAAGGCATCTGGCGCCTGGGTCGACGAACTAACAACAGTCCTATGGGCCTACAGAATGACCTCGAGAAATTCAACGGGGCAGTCACCATTCCACATGGTTTACGGAATGGACGTCTTATTGCCTATCGAGATTGGTTTGGCCTCTCATAGATCGACATTCTATGAAGAGAAGAATAATGAAGAATTAATGAAAGAAGTCCTCGACATGATAGAAGAGGCGCGAGAGGAAGCTTAGCTATGATCCGTGGAGTATAAACAGAAAATGCATGCAGCCTTCGACAAGAAAGTCCAAACCAGACGGTTTGAAGTATGAGACCTCGTTCTAAAGTGGGCAGACGCCCTCAAGCACGTTGGGAAGTTAGAAGCTAACTGGGAGGGGCCATATACAGTCACAAAAGTGCTTGAGAGAGGTGCGTATGAACTTGAAGATGCGGAAGGTCGACAACTGCCACGATCTTGGCACGTAATCCATCTCAAACGTTTTTATGCCTAAAACAATGTTTCGAGCTTTTTCTTTTGTACTAAACAACGATCAAATCAAATTCAGTAATGAAATATATTCCAAGTTTACATTTCAATTATGTCTCTTTATATTTATGCATCGACTCTCCAATAATGGTTGGATAAACCGAATTTTTCGAAACGGCTATATAGCCGACCAACTCCTTCTACTACGAAGTCGATCTAAACAACTATGAAGTTATATGCCTCGAGTGGAAACTCGGCAAGGCTACGAAGCCTTCGACTACGAAGTCGATCAAAACAACTACGAAGTTGTATGCCTCGAGCGGAATCTCGGAAAGGCTACAAAGCCTTCGACTACGAAGTCGATCAAAACAACTACAAAGTTGTATGCCTCGAGCGGAATCTTGGCAAGTCTATGAAGCCTTCGACTACGAAGTCGATCTAAAACAACTATAAAGTTGTATGCCTCGAGCGGAATCTCGGCAAGGCTACGAAGCCTACAACTATGAAGTCGATCTAAAACAACTACGAAGTTGTATGCCTCGAGTGGAATCTCGGCAAGGCTACGAAGCCTTCGACTACGAAGTCGATCAAAACAACTACGAAGTTGTATGTCGCGAGCCTAATCTCGGAAAGGCTACGAAGCCTTCGACTACGAAGTCGATCAAAACAACTACGAAGTTGTATGCCTCGAGCAGAATCTCGGCAAGGCTATGAAGCCGTCGACTACGAAGTCGATCTAAAACAACTATGAAGTTGTATGCCTCGAGCGGAATCTCGGCAAGGCTACGTAGCCTACGACAACAAAGTAGATCTAAAACAACTACGAAGTTGTATGCCTCGAGTGGAATCTCGGCAAGGCTACGAAGCCTTCGACTACGAAGTCGATCAAAACAACTATGAAGTTGTATGCCTCGATTGGAATCTCGGCAAGGCTACGAAGCCTACGACTACGAAGTCGATCAAACAACAAAGTCGTAATTCTCAAGTGAAATCTCGACGAGGCTACGAAGTCTTCGACTATGGAAATAATTTAAACAATTACGACGAACTTATGTTTCTCGAGGTAGAATCTCGAAAATACTATAAAGCCCACAGCTACAAAATTCGGCTCAAAGACTAACTATGAACAAGTTAAACTATCGTTACAGTAGTCATATCGATAGAACGAACGACAGTGCTCGGCTTCGACCAGCTGGCACAAAGGTTGGGAGAAGGCGACACAAAAAACTTGTTTAACAGCTATGAAGTTGTTCAAATCACAGCTCGACTTCGACCAGCTCGCACAAGGGGTTGGGAGAAGGCGACTCGAAAAACTTGTTTAACAGCTATGAAGCTGTTCAAATCACAGCTCGACTTTGACCAGCTCGCACAAGGGGTTGGGAGAAGACGACTCGAAAAACTTGTTTAACAGCTATGAAACTGTTAAAATCACTGCTCGACTTCGACCAGCTCGCACAAGGGGTTGGGAGAAGACGACTTGAAAAACTTGTTTAACAGCTATGAAGCTGTTCAAATCACAGCTCGACTTCGACCAGCTCGCACAAGGGGTTGGGAGAAGACAACTCGAAAAACTTCTTTAACAACTATGAAGCTGTTAAAATCACTGCTCGACTTCGACCAGCTCGCACAAGGGGTTGGGAGAAGACATGATAAAGACAGTTGACCTCAATTATTACAAACACCCACGACAACACAAGAAAAAAGAAAAA